AATTCAAATCGAAGTCTAAAATCTATATAATAAAGTAGCTAAATTATTTGTCTTGAGCTTTTCGCAGATCAGATCATTTTGATCTGATAATCTTAATTCGACTTTCATTCTTTTTACAACTCTAAAACTCACATCTTTTGTATAACTCTCTCTATCTTTCCATCTTATACACTCTCTCTCATCCTATTATCTTTTTCTTTTTTTTTTCCCTATTTTGTTTTTGTTATTATTTACTCCTTATGCAATTATTTATTTCATAAAACTAATTTAAAGTTTTTTATATGTCCGACGACATATATTTTGTCACTTGCTTCTTTATTTATAAATAACATTTAATGTAAATAAAAAATATCACATTAGCTATAAACACTAAATAATATTCAACACGAAATGAAATTTAGATTGCAAATTAATACACAATTTTATCAAAAATTGATATTTAATTTATTCTAATTTATATTTAACTTTGTCGAATTAATATTAAATTAATTTTTATTTTTATCAAAATAATATTGAAAGTCATTTAATTAATTTTTTTGAGTACTAAATCAAATTTTATTTAGTTTTATTAAATTTTTAATTTTTGTTGTTACTAAATTTGGAAAATGGCAATTGTAAAAATTAAAAAAAAAAATTTGGGGTGAAATTATCAATTTTCAGTAGCAACATTGATAGAAAGGAGACAAAGAGGGTCTTTGTACAATGAATTTCAAATCTCAAGGGTCTTCATGTTATTTATAAAATGTCAAGAGGCGTCCGTGTAATATTATCCAAACTCATGAAATGTTTATGATTTTTACCCTATTTTTTAATTAAACATTAATTTATTATTATTTTATCTTAAAAAATTGAATTATTCTATTTGCAATAAACGCAATTATTGGTTAGGAGAATTTTTGGGTAACCAAAAAATAAATGTGTGAGTGTGTTTCTATGTATATTTATATATGAAAAATTAGACATTTGGTAATTAAATTTATAATTATATTGTATCATTTGGTGTTGTTGAATGGTGATAGTGGTGATAAATTTATGAGTTTTATAAATAAGCAAGATTTTGTTGATTTTATTTATTGTTTAAAGATTTTGAATTTAATTGTGTATTCTATTAGTATTTTTTTTTTTTTTGCTTTGAGGTATTTATTACATGGTGATAGGATGGATTAGAAATATAGTGATTAAGTTTATAATTATTTTGTGTTAATGGATTGAATAGTAGTAGAGATAATAAATGAATAAGATTTTATTTATTACTTAAAAATTACAAATTTTAATTGGTTATGTTAGTATTTTTTTTTTTTCGAAGAGGCATTTGTATATATATTGTTGTTTTGGATAGTTTTTATATATTTTTATGACAATTGGTTTGAATGTTTTTAAGCCATTTTTTTTTTAATTCGGACAATTATTTTTTAAAAAATTATGTTTCATTATTGGAGCTGATACCCACATATGATGTGTCAGAGTACTTGGGTCGGGTCTTGAATTTTTGGAACTTAACCTGAATCTGTCACCTATTCAATACAACAAGTTCAACCGAAGTTACAAATTGTGTTATATATAAAACCAAAATTTCTTTTTAGAAATTGAACCTGAGAATTAAACATGAATTTCACTTCAAATTGTGTAGTTTCAATTCAGCCCATCTTAGAGAACCAAAGTGAATTTAGTATTCGGGTTTAACGTTTTAAAAATTGGGTTGAGACACGTTGGACTTTTCAATCGATTCAATCCGCTCAAGTTTCACCCTGATTAAAACTCCTCACATTTCAATATTAGTACCTTTTTTTTTTTTATTAATCCCACCTCTAGCATAACGACAAACCACCACCTGTAGCTAATAAGTTGAAGATTAGTCAGTAAGCACTTCGAGTTAGATAAGAAAAGAATGGAAATACATTCATTCAACTTATTTGGCTCTTTCCCTGTGTTTTTATTTCCCAGAATATGTCAATTAGGATGGGGATCAGCATCATTTTTGCAATCAAGGACTCGTTTAGAATCTCAAGAAGAAGGCTAATTGTGGAAATTGATGATTAGTTCAAAGTCGGACATTTGGCAATTGGTTAGTTTGTATAGTAAAATTAAGAATTCTGGTCCCTCTGTAATAATTAATTTACTCGGGCCTTGTTTGGTTTACATCTCAAAAATTATTTTTCAGTTTTAAAAATAATTTTTGAGAGAAAAATTATTTGACTAACTATTTTTTTTTTTTTTGAAAAGTGAGAATAAAAAATGAGTAGATTTAAAGAATAAATTAAAAATGTTTTTTGTGTTTTTAAAAACACTAAAAAATTTAAAAAACACTACCACCACACTTTCATCACCACTACCACACTCCCACCACTGTTACCATATTTTTGTTTTCATTATTTTCTGGTTACTGTTTAAATAAATTTTATTATTTTTTATTTCGTAGAACTATATTTGGAATCATATAACTAAATAAATTTTACAACACAAAAAACTCCAAAACACAATTTTCTAATTTTTTTTTCTCAAAAATTATTTTCAAAAATTATTTTTTAATATGCAAACCAATCAGGATCTCAATTTTCTTTAGTTTCCACCATATATTGAGATGGGCTCATTACATATAGGGGTAGCAATCGTATCGTGTGGTATCAAACGTGTTCGTGTCGTGTTATTTATAAGTTCGTGTCGAGCATTGGCCAATCCTAATTCAACACATTTAATTAATTGTGTCATGTCAACATAATCAGTTTATTTTCGTGTCGGATTAGTGTTGACACATGCAACCCTTGAATCAAAAGTTTAATGAAAAATTTCATCAACACCCCCTATAGTTAGGTCTAAATTTAATGATACTCTCTTCTAATTCTGAAACTTAATTATCACCCCTTATCAGTGCTTACCGGGTTACAGCGTTAATGACGATTGTTGATTTACAAAAATACCTCTAAGTATTTTATAGGGTAATTTTTATCCACGTCCTTTATAAATAAACCTAAATTTAATAAAAGTTTTTATAAATAAACCTAACTTTAACAATATCCCCCCACCTGATTCTGAAATTTCAATGTTCTCCTTTTTAATTTTATTATATTAACCTTTAGATTCATCAATTTAATATTTAATTTTTTTAAATTAATATCATTTATTTAATTTAAAATAAATTAATATTTTATCTCATCAAATCAATACAAAATTGATATTTAATTTTATCAAATTAATATTATTTTTTTAATTTAATATTAAATTATACCAATTAACATTAAATTTTATTAAATCAATACTAAATTAATATTTAATTTTATCAAATCAAGATTAAATTTATTCAAATAATATTAAATTTTATCAAATAATATTTAAATTTTATATATGAAGGGTGATGTATGAAGAGTAGTCGGGTGATATTGTAGGGGACAGACGTAGCAAAGAGGTCAAAAAATTGATGGGATTTTAACATTGACTTTATCGATTGTAATTTTTATTATATAAAAATTATTTTTTACTATAAAAATAATATAACTAGATTATGTAACTAAATAAGTGATAATATGATGACTAATATTATAACAAAATTATCATGCAACGCATTAAAAGGATAAAAAATCATTGGAATAATATAATAATATAAATCATGCTTATTAGCTAACTAGGTCATATATAATTAGGAAAGGATTGTGGGCATTTTAGTTCATTTATATAATAAAGGGTAATTTTGACATTTTTATAAAATATTTAGTTAAATCATTACTTTATCTACTAGCAGAGGCAAAAATTACCGTTAAGATAGTGTCATTGATTTAAAAGTATAAACCATAAGGGTGTACAGTGAAGTTTAGAATTAGGAGGAGATGTCATTAAATTTAGATCTAACTAGAGAGGATTGTAAATGAAATTTTATCAAAGTTTAACTCTAAAATTTAAATCTGAGATTCTATTATCGCTTAACCAAAAATCGACCGCACACTCGTACTTTTTCTAAGATTTAAGTCTGCCCTCACGATGAATCATTCAAAACCTATGGGTGCGGTGAAGAGGAGAGGGAAGGAAACGAAACGAAACAAAACAAAACTCAGGGGTCCCGACCTATATTATTAAGGATGCACTAACTAGTCCTCACGAGAACGGCCAAATGAATATTTTTCTAAACTTATCCCGTAAGTCATACGTTGTTTGAACGCTGATTCAAGAATCCAATGAATAGCACAAGGAGAGCAGGCCGGGCCATCATATCGTCGCCTATTATGGGAGGAATGCCAAATTTTAGAATGAATACCACTCCAATGGAATGGGAAGAAGAATATCATAACAAAAAGAGGCAAGAGTTATTCGATTTGCAAGCATATATTCCACCATGCTTCCTCTTAACGATATCTATCTCTTCCATAGGCTCCGATCCATATCTCCTCTAAATAATTTTTCTATCCATTTTTACCCTCTAAATATTTTTTCATCACACACCATATTTGATGAGACCAAATCACTTATATACAATGAGTCTCACTTAAATTTATGAGAAATAATTTATTAATAATTAAAAATAAAAAAATATACCGAAGAAAATCTCATTCCTTATAACTTGGTCGTGCTTTCTACTTTAAATGCCCTTCCAAGGGACTTTTTTTTCATTTAAACAGGACTTCACCAAAAACATGATTTTCTCATGTCCATCTCATCTACCTCAAACGTAGGCTCCTTTACCCTGATCTTCAATTTCTCCTGCTACAACTATTTTCAGGGATAACAAGAATACACGAAACTAACTAAACCTTAAAGCTTGTTATGTGTTTCGATTTCCTTTGTTGGATATGAAAAACTAGTGTCAATAGACATATTAATTGAAAAAAATAGGCCAAAACCGCACAAGCCAAATGCCAAATGCCAAATGCCAAATGTCAACCTAAGAAGGGACGCTGCAGAGAACTTTATAGTTTCCTGATAGTTCGATGTAAAACCGAAAGATGAATGATTTACTAAACTCGTGTACAATTCCTTGGGGAAGAATAAGAAGAGCAGGAGAAGAGTGCACCCAATTCTGAATACTTGTTAATTTTTGCTGAACCCAAAAAAATCTAAGAATAAAAAAGATACAAACCAGTGTAATATTGATATTACAACAGTGATGCTAACATTTACTAGTTGTTGCAAATAAATATGCTAGATATATATTCAGTAAAATGGTAAAATAGTCCATACAACGGCAACAAAGAAAGCATATTTGATTACAAAGATGTTCTGGCTGTCTACTATACAACCACATCCTCTTAATCCTCTTAGGAATTGTAGTCGTCACGAAAACGTAAAGGCTAGCTTAAATTGCTTTTTTAGTGGCATACAAGCTTCCACCCCTGTTGCAATTTCAGTATCTTGAACGGCTTCTTACCCTGCAATGTCGGCTCCCAATCAATACCATAAATCAGAATAAATTTTAGGGTCTTTCAGAAAACGGAAACAGAAAGCAACAAAATTACCTAGGCGAGAGGGAGCGGGAGATGGATCGAGAGTGGGTGTAGGAGCGAGAGCGAGACCGTGAGCGAGAACGAGAATGATATCTTCGAGAAAGGGAACGAGGGCGAGATTGAGATTGAGACCGCGAGCGAGAACGAGAATGAGGTCTTCGAGAACTCCGGCCCCTGCTCGGGCTTCTGCTGCGCCTATATCTTCTGCGATAAACAAAAATTAATGCACCCAATCCAAGAACTGTATTTTGCATCAATCTGAAAAAATTTGACCACATAAAATCAAACATTGGTACCTTCCCCCCAAAACAAGTGAACATGCCCTACAAAGTATATCACCCAACTGCGATAATAAATGACTATAAATATACATACACATGCATAAATGTTTGTGTGCATGTGTCATAGAGAAGGCACTCCTATCCCATAGCCGTCAGACTTGAGACTAAAGAAGTGAACTTTCATGAAAAAGCTTTTTAAAATTAGAATTTGCATCACAAACACAAAAGGAGGGTTCATTCATAGACTGAACCTTGATAAAGCACATTCGCCATCTTCTAGAATTGCAAAAAAGGCAACAAAATAGTAAATCTGGATCAAAGTTAGAGCACACAAAAGAAGCAATTTGATTGTAATTTGATTGCAAGAATTTCACAAAAATCTTTAAGAAACCATGATACCTCCTGGTTGGCTGTTTTTCGTTTCCATATATGGAATGTGTTAATCAAATAATATGACTATTGCTAGTTTCATAATTTCCGCTAGAAACACAAGAGTATAGTGTTTCACTACAGCAGATTAAAACTGAAATCATGAATAATGATAGCATGCAAGGTTTATCCAGGCCCTACATAATTCAAGCTTGTTTTTTTCTAGAGCTCATTTTCAACCTTCCCCCAGGACCAATTTATATCATGATAACAAGTGCAACCAAGCAAACCAAATGACCTGTTGTCATGGAGGTGCACTGCCATCAAAATTTTAGGCTCACAAAATTGGGTTGGGCTCCAAATGGGATTACAACTAGCACATTTACCCCAAAAAAAAACTACTCCCACACCCTATCATCATCAAAATTCAACAAAAATGCATCAGCCTGATAGCCAGGTTGGCAAAAAAAAAGATCCTTTTTTGTCGTCCTGGCCCACCTAAGAGTTGATGGCAAAAATAAATCAGATCAGGGTACAGGTCTAAGTTGTTTCCTCCCTTGCATCATAAAACACCTGTTAATTTCCTCAACTTGCATTGTCTTGAACCTTCCTTTTCCAATACCACCAAGATATGAAAGAACAAACGCAACTTCGCAGAAACGTAAGTACCATAATTCTCTGCATAGCCGGTACACTATAAACAAGACATAGCAGTCATCATCCAACTTGATCACTCAGAGAATTACTAATCAAGTCATAATATTTAGCAGTCACAAACAAACAAAATCAACACTGATGTTGAACTTAAAATAGCAGCTACTAGGGGCAGGTGACATGAATCTGTACCTAATCAGCTAAGTAAGCACATACCAAATTCAAATTTAAGCCTGAACACAGCAACAAAAGGAAAGGACCACATATATAATACTAATTACACACAAATCTTCAAACCACCCTGTGCCTCTGGTGGCCCCCAGGGGCATCATATCTACGGAGTACTGTCTGTACAAATTCCTACCCGTCATCTCTGACCATTTTCCCTGGAACAATTATCAATTACCTTTTTCCTTTTTTTTTTTTTTTTTTTNCTTGATAAAGCACATTCGCCATCTTCTAGAATTGCAAAAAAGGCAACAAAATAGTAAATCTGGATCAAAGTTAGAGCACACAAAAGAAGCAATTTGATTGTAATTTGATTGCAAGAATTTCACAAAAATCTTTAAGAAACCATGATACCTCCTGGTTGGCTGTTTTTCGTTTCCATATATGGAATGTGTTAATCAAATAATATGACTATTGCTAGTTTCATAATTTCCGCTAGAAACACAAGAGTATAGTGTTTCACTACAGCAGATTAAAACTGAAATCATGAATAATGATAGCATGCAAGGTTTATCCAGGCCCTACATAATTCAAGCTTGTTTTTTTCTAGAGCTCATTTTCAACCTTCCCCCAGGACCAATTTATATCATGATAACAAGTGCAACCAAGCAAACCAAATGACCTGTTGTCATGGAGGTGCACTGCCATCAAAATTTTAGGCTCACAAAATTGGGTTGGGCTCCAAATGGGATTACAACTAGCACATTTACCCCAAAAAAAAACTACTCCCACACCCTATCATCATCAAAATTCAACAAAAATGCATCAGCCTGATAGCCAGGTTGGCAAAAAAAAAGATCCTTTTTTGTCGTCCTGGCCCACCTAAGAGTTGATGGCAAAAATAAATCAGATCAGGGTACAGGTCTAAGTTGTTTCCTCCCTTGCATCATAAAACACCTGTTAATTTCCTCAACTTGCATTGTCTTGAACCTTCCTTTTCCAATACCACCAAGATATGAAAGAACAAACGCAACTTCGCAGAAACGTAAGTACCATAATTCTCTGCATAGCCGGTACACTATAAACAAGACATAGCAGTCATCATCCAACTTGATCACTCAGAGAATTACTAATCAAGTCATAATATTTAGCAGTCACAAACAAACAAAATCAACACTGATGTTGAACTTAAAATAGCAGCTACTAGGGGCAGGTGACATGAATCTGTACCTAATCAGCTAAGTAAGCACATACCAAATTCAAATTTAAGCCTGAACACAGCAACAAAAGGAAAGGACCACATATATAATACTAATTACACACAAATCTTCAAACCACCCTGTGCCTCTGGTGGCCCCCAGGGGCATCATATCTACGGAGTACTGTCTGTACAAATTCCTACCCGTCATCTCTGACCATTTTCCCTGGAACAATTATCAATTACCTTTTTCCTTTTTTTTTTTTTTTTTTTTGCTTTTTTCTTTTGCAACACAATGGTCAAGACTTAATAAATGCATCTGTTAAACAGTAGCGCAGCAAGCCCTGCAAACAAACTCCATACGACATTTTGTGCATCCATATAAAACCTGAATGCACAATGAATGGAGCGGTGTAAATTACCTTGGAGGAGAACGACTAAAACTTCTACTACGGCTTCGACGTCTATATCGACTTAGTCGGCTTGTTTCTGCAAGTTTTTCAAGCCTCTGCCGCTCTTGTTCCCGTTTCTTAGCTATTTCAATAGCCGTATCTTTCTTAACTGTGCAATCAATCAGTAGGCCATATCAAGAATCATAAATCATGACGCGAAGAAGAAAGATCATCACTATTTGGATCAACTTCCCACATCACATGGTGAACCATAATAGTGGATTGACTGCTGCAGTGCTTTTGCTATTCAAATGCACATAAAGTAGGGCATACTTTGTTTGTTCAGTTGTTTGCTCATAATCCGTTTCAGTCGCTCTTGAGGTGTTTCCTTTTTCTCCCCCGGTTGTTTAGAGAGGCTCCCACTACTAGTAGCCTTACTTAACTTCGCCAATGCTGGGGACGTGCTGCTCGGATAAGAAAAGCAACAAACACACTCAAGCAAATTATAATAAATTCACCAGTATTGCATATATATCTACTAATTTAGCAACGCAGAGTAATGTATGAATCTCAAACCAGAAACAAAGATCATGATATACCTTGCTGATGGTTTCAATGATTTGGAGTTCTTTTCCTTATCAATGGATACACCGGATGCAGGATCAACATGGAGCGCCTCCAATATTCGACCAGATGATGGCCTGCATAAAAGAAGAAGCATTAGCGATAACCCATTTAACCACATCTAGGCAACTCGGCGGCATTCATATGAAGGCCATTTCAGGGGAAAAAATCAACTTCAAAAAGGAAGGCTTCGTCCCCTCTCCCACTTGGCTGATAACCTAAGCCCATCTATTCTATACCACAAAAGTTTGCCTCAGGTAACAAAATGGATGATATGCGGCAGCAGAGTAAACATGGTCCAATCTATCTTTTGCAAGAATTAAAGGGCGAGTGCTCCGACCGGCTCAATGCATCAGCTCGGGATGGAGGAGATGGTGGTGGAGAAAATCCTTCAATCTTTGGTTCATCCCCATCAGCGGAGCCCCCAAATTCAGTGATATACTCTATTTTAGGAACCTTTGGCTTGCTTCGATGAAAATCATCAGAATGAACACCACGAGCATGGCGCCTTGAGTGAGATGGTGAGTAAGATCGTGACTGTGATCTTGATCTGCCACAATAAAACAACATTAAGAATAGTCTACCCAAATTGCTCTTACTAAAACGATGGGTCAAGATAATGACCATAGCCCACCTTCTAGAACGTGAATACGCTTCATAGGTTGGACTTCGTCGAGACTCCCTGCAAATTATGTGGATTATCAGTTAAATCAGCCCACAACATAGTTGGGTCTACTATTTTGCATCAGCAACTTTACATGATTTCTGTCATAATAAAAGAAAAAAAGAGAAGACACCGCTAGAATATACCGGTAGGGATCATGATGAAGGACTCGAGTTCCAGTGACACGGGTGGCTTCTCTTTCCTTCTCTCGTTCCAACTGAGAAGCTTTCCTCCGTTCCTTGCGGCTCAGCTTCCTCTGCAAAAATTCAAGTAATCCAGGGCAGATACACCGAATGTAAACCTCCAACTTATATATATAAATCCAACTCATACATTTGCCAGACTTACAATTGCAGGATCTCCCTTGATCAACTCTTTTTGCCTCCTTTCCTCCTCTTTAGCCTTTTTATCCATGTATACAAGCCATCCATATCTTTTCACTCCAAATTCTTTTGCAATTGATTCCATAGCGTCATCATTGCTATCGTCACTATTAAAATCATCATCATCTTCCTCCTCATCATCCTCGACATTGTCTTCAGTATCAGAAGAATGAGTTTCCTCTTTTCCATCTCCATCATAGGAGAACCCCACTTGCGAATAAGACCCCTTGCTTGTTGGTGGCTGGGCTGTTTGAGATCTACCATATTTAAAGAAAAAGGTAAGATTATGTATAAACTATTGTCACATCAAAGAGCACAAACACCATGTTTGGAGGAAGAGAATTGGAAAGAAATAAATGAGTTGGAGGGAACAGTGGTCTATCTAGAAGGTGAGAAGAAATGGAAATAAAAGAAAGTTTACCAAGTATTTTTTTGTTTTTATCTGTTGTTTTTACAAATAAGTGATTTCTATTTTGTAACTCCAATCAGTGTTATTAAGGTTGAGTTAGTGCTCGCCTTAAGCCCAGATCTTTAGGGCCTTGATGTCTTAGTGTGCCAAAGCACACTTTTACTAACACTGCCTCAAACTAACAAAATTTATTGCTCCTTTTTTCCTTCTCTTTCTATTAAACTCCCAAACAACAGAATAAATCTTTGTTGCAATGATCATACATGCTATCGTCGACCAAGGGTATCATCCTCCAATAATTAACTACCACATGGGCATACCCTACATATCAAATAAATACAGTATCTATGATCTAACATAACCTAACAAATACCACACATGCATAAGCAAGTTTCACCAGGCAACATTTATATGTGCATTTGATTATTGGATGGTGATATCTGTGATGAAATGGCCTCACCGTCGTAATGAATATTTACTATATACCAGGTGAGTGAATATAACATTGTTTTCCTTTCTTTTCGCTCCTACAAGCCTCAAAACATAGAAAGTACGAAGGTGCAACAGGTAGGTAAGCAGACCAGTATTGCTGGAATATAACCAGAAACCAAAAGAATTACAAAGCTAATCATCATAATATAGTATGAAGAAAGATTCTACACACTGGAAAGAATTAAATTCAATACACAAGGAAAGCAGCGGGAAAAACCAGGCATCATCAAGAGACATAATAATCATGCAGTTTATACATAAAAGAACTAAACAAATTACTCTCACATAAATTCTACTTTCTGTAGATGCTCTCTCTGTATGCAACTGTAAGTGATCTAAGAACAAGGAAGTCATTCCATGGAAATTATCACGTCAAGAAACATTAGAAGAAAAAACAGTTAGCTGGTAATAAAGAGTTAACCTGTCGGATACAAATGGAGCAGCAATCTTTGCCTCCAGCTCTAGATTAACATGCTGTAAACCCTCCTCATCAGTCACTGTTGGCAGACAATTAGCTTGTAAAACCAATATCAAATTGATCCTTCGCTATAAAAAAGACTCCACATAAAAATGCTAGCCATTGTTTCTGATCACTTTTTCAATAATCGAGAATAAATAAAGGGGAAACTCTGCTATAAATATTCAAGAATTAAAAATCAAAAAAGTACCGACATCCTCTACGTCGATGCTTAATTAAATCCCGATAACGCTCAAAATTAACAAACTCTTCTAGTTCTTCTTCTTCCTCTGTTTTCTCCGGGGTCCGAAAAGGTCGGGAATTAGAATCTCGAATAAAATCAAGAAGAGCACGGCCATCAAATCTGCTCAGAGCAACCTGAATCAGTAAAACTAAGATACTACACTGCCATCCCCTCTTTTTTCATTCTCCTTCCCCCAACCACACAACTCATTAATTCGCATCCATACATATAAACACAGACATATTTAATACCTGTCAATCAAAATTTCCTGTTTCCCATTCCAAGGTATCCTGATACATAAGGAACAGATTAGCTCACATTTTTATATAGAATCAAGAATTGAGCATAGTCAACCATGATGCCACTTGGAAAATGAACGAAAAATACTTAAATTGACAACCTGGACAACTAATGCGACACTAATTTTTTCTCCTTCCTTATCAAGCCTTTGTGTGCATTTGAATTCAATTTTTTAACAAATTTAACATGGGAAAATGGGGGGTGGAGTGGCAGTTAAGTTAGATATAGTTCCGCTACATTGCAGGAATAAGGGAGAAATAATTGAATAATACACTTTTGAACTTCAAACCATATCCAGCTCAATCCCAAGCGTTCAGAATTTAAACAAAGGAGTGCTGATTCTTGTGTACCTGCCAAAGAGTGCGTGCGTGTGTGTATTTTGCAAGCAAAAGGAAGGAAAAACGTATAAATTGGAGACTTATAAACGCAACCACCACCATCTCACTACTTATCCAATCCATGACCATCTATACATTAGAAATGCAGAACATAATCTGCAATCTCTCTTCCTCATAAGTACCATTGCAGTACTTATCAGAGGAAACTGTAGACCCACACCACTGGTGTAACACTTGTCACAGCCTAACAGGAAGCAGCAAGTGCATTATGTGAAGCAAAAAACCAATAGCTTATAACTTTAGTTTTGAAGTCTCAACCTTCAAAAAGTTTGCTCAACTATCATAAAGATATTTCATAATAATGCCAAAGCTTCAATTTACTATAATAATTTGATACCAGCTGCGACATAATCTTAAAGGCTCAAACCACAAAGCCCCAAGTCTGTATTATAACTTCCTAAATGATCACTGATATGCTTTTTTTTCTATAAGATGACTGCAACTCCTGCATTACACAGAAGAAAATCGTAGCACTTGCAGTGGGTACAAGTGAAACAAGAAGTCCATTTTTTTTCAAAAATCATCTTGCAAGTCAGACAGCAACACCGGTCTTAACAGTGTGTATCCTCCGATCACAAGCTTCTATATCTAATGTATAAACCGTAAATTTCTAGAATTCAGATAGCTCCAGCTAATCCCCTCTCTTCTTGTGACCAGTTTCAAGTTACTCACTTTCACTATAATTGTTGATCCCTGGTTTCAATTTATAAATCACAAACATTGAGCATATTATCCATACGATCCTTCTGTTCTGTGCAAAAAACAGTGAAGGTCCGTTGTCAATCTCTGCATTAATTTCAAATCTATTTTGCTGTTCTTGGCATAACAAGAACGTAAATTCAAGGCAGTTTTAAACTTATTTCTCCATGAATCAGGGAATCTATTAGCCATTCGATTGCGAATTTCTAGGTTAAAAAAGTAAAAACAATAGTAAGAAAAGCAGTGAAACAAAACGGGCCCTAAAAGTGAAAAAACTTTCAGCGAAATTGGGGAAGAAAAACAAGTTCTTACAAGCCTTGCTGATCCTCAGTGGCTTGGTAGAGACCGTCGTCACGGTACATGCGGCAACGAGATCCGACGGCCTGGATCGATTGCTGAGGGTCACCGCGACGCTTCGCCAGAAAGACGGCTCGTCTCTGAGCTCTCTTTCGAGCCGCGTCCATCATGTCGTGGACCTTCCTCTCCGACCTCCGAGCTTCGTGCCACATCTTCAGATCCTCTGTCACGATCTACTGTTTATGGTTTTCTGCGGGGAATGGGACGAAACCCTAACTCCAATTGATCGGTATTTTATTTTAAACCATTGAAATCACTTTTGAGGCAATGATAAATGGATTTCAACCGACATTGTGGGACCACCTAAACCAAGCGCTATTTTAGTAATTTAGAGAAATATCGTCGAGTAAATAACTTGTTTAAGTCTTTATCGATGTTATTTAGTTTTTAGAATTACTTGCACCGGATGTCTTTAATGTATGAAATTTATTTCATTTTTATCGTTAATAATTTAATTTCATCATTCTAGTCTCTAAAATATTAATATATTTTTATTTGATCCCTTGAATAGATAGTGTTTACATTGTTAGTAATTTTTTATTATAAACTTGTCACAGAATATTTAAATATGAAAAAAATAATAATTTACATAATTTTTGACCATATTTTTATCTAAATTTTGGTCAAGGAGCTACCTAAATTACATATTTGTTATCATGAGTTATCCAAATTTTGATTAATAGATAATAATATTACATATTTTTTGTCAACACATACCCAAATTTTGACCAAAAGCTACCCGAACTATTTGTTACCCATATTTAAATATCACGAAATAAGTTTATGATTAAAAAAACCTTTAACAATTTAGATATTGTCTGCTTGAAGGATCACATAGAAACATATTCAATACTTTACATATCAAAATGATTCAAATTGAAATATTATAGATCAAAATAAGGCAAATTTCTTATTTTAAGGACCACCAATATACTTGACCCTAGTTTTTAATTGTATTATCTAAACATTCAACTCCTCAATTAAAGTGACCTCACTTTGTACAATATATATAATAATGAAATATAGTTGTTTAAGAAAATACGCTCTTGTAAATTATATAGCTCCAAATTTAATCTAATAATGATAAATCACCCCCAAAATTTTATTCTCTGTCAATCTCTTCCTTCTGTCTTGTTCTTCTCACGCACTTCTCTTCCCGTTCACGAATGTACTTTCCCATCTCCCTCATTCTATAACTCATTTTGCACCCCCCTCAAGATGCATCTCTCTCTCTCTCTTGGCAGCCCCTCTTTTTTGCCCACCCTTTTGTCTCACTTCCCCAAATTATCCTCATCTTTTACCTCCTCCCTGCTATTCTTTCTCACTTAGTCTCTTTTGTCTCCATTTCTCTAGTTCCTCTCTCTCAATCTCTTATTATTTCTCTACCATTCTTCTCTCTTACTTCTAGTTCCAACAACTTACATAGACACGCTCTGTCGCTCCTAAACCTAACCTCTAACAACCTAGAGGTATCTTTATCCCCTTCTTTTTCTCAACTCCTAGTGACACTAACCTAGCCTCCACCCTACATTTGTTGTCACCATTGCCATAGCCCCTTTCTCTCCTTTATTGTCTCTATCTGCTAAACCACCACCCCCCTTCCTCATTTCCCCCCATATCAAACGTAACCACCAAAGCCCCATAGCCATGATCGTCAGCCTCTCTTCTATCCCTTCCTCCCTCTACCCCAATTGAACATAAAGTTATGACAATTTTTGGTGCACACTTTGGTGTTCCCAACTCATAGCATTTAATAGCCTAACATCTGATAGTCCTCTCTTCCTGGTGTCTCTATTCCCCCTTCCTCTCAGCTCCTAGCAACTTTGACCTAGCCTCCACCTTATAGTTGTCGTTACTGTTACCATAACCCTTTTTTCTCCTTTACTTTATCTCACTGCCAAACCATAAACCTCTTCCTCATTTTCCCCCACCAAACATATCCACCAAAGCCCTAGTGCCTCAACCTCATAGCCATTATTGTCAATCTCTATTCTCCCCTTCCCCCTCCCCCAACCGAAACAAAGTTATGATAGTTTTTGTGCATCTCATGTTATACAAAGTTTCTTACATTCTGGTGGGCATTTGTTTTGATGAGGTGGTGGTTTACATTTTGAACTCTCATATAACCCTTAAAATTAGTTTTATGTTGAACATTAAAATGAGAAATATACTTTACCCTTCATTACTCAAGTAGAAAAGAATAACCACCCTCCCCTTTCCCTATTGTTGCAAGCATTTCACTCTCTCCCTCTTTCTATACTTAAAAACCCTAAATAAATTTGAACAAAGTGCTACATTGAATTGAATTTTCTATGAACAAGTTCTACTTATGCAATTTTCTAAACTCAATAGGACCAACATCGACCTCATTTCTAAGACAAATAAATCCAGTACTGTGCAGCAATATAGACCTATTATTAGCCGATGAAATATAGCCTACAAGATCATTTATAAGGTAGTTGCCAATAGGATTAGGCCTTACTTGGACCAAATTATAGCTCCCAATAAAACTACCTTTGTCCCATGGAGGGGAATTGCAGAAAGCACTATTTTGGCCCAAGAAATTACTCATTGGTTTAAGAAGAAAAAAAGAAAAGGTGCATTGATGATGATTAAAATAGATATTGGCAAGGTATTTGATAAAATTGAATGGCATTTTCTCATGCAAATTCTTACACTACTTGGCTTTCATGCACAGTTTGTAAAAAAAAATGTATTTCTACTCCATCATTCTTAGTTATGATTGAGGGTCCCTTTGGAAGGGAAACTAAATCAGAAGCTCAGACAATTTCAGAATGCCTAAGCACATATTCATTTGGAGGATGACTAAAGATTGCCTACCTATAAGACCCCTTCTTGCAAGCAAGATTCCCATCTCAGATACCACCTACCCTCTACACAACCAAATCACTGAAACTACCATTCCAATGTTCTTCTTGTGTCACTTGGCTAGACTAACATGGTTCACTAATTAACCCTAATTAAGACATAATTTAATAGGTAAATTGTGTTAGTTGAATAAAGTTAAACTAGTCAAAATAAATGAAATTAGAATTAGTGTGTGAATAAAGGATAATAAATTAATTGTTGTTCTTTTCAGAATTTTGTGCGTCAAAACTACAAACTACTGGGGAGCCAATTGCATTAAAGCTACAAACTACTCGGGTGCCAATTATCAAAGCTCAAAACAAAGGGGGATCAAAGAATTCAAGGCCACCTAACAAGATTTTCAAGTCCACCTAACAAGATTCAAAGCCACCTAACAAGACTTTTCAAATCCACCAAACAAGATTCAAGGCCACCTAACAAGACTTTCACCCTCCCTTGTTGCCTATAAATACCACCCCTTAGGACTTGTAAAGCATTCATCTTTTGATAGTGAAAAACCCTCCAAAAGTATTATTATTTTCCTTATTGCTTATAGCTTTCTTTAAGTATTGCTTTATTTTATTGTATTCTTGCTTCCTTTTAATTTATTACTTTCTTTTACTTTAATTATTGCTTTCTTTTATTGTGTTATTACTTTCTTTTAATTCCATTGCTTGAGCTTCCTTCTTCCCTTAAAGGAGTGAAACTCTTCCACTTTTCTAGAACTTTACCACAGCCGTGAAGGGTGGAACGTGATTCACTCATTCTTTGTTGAAGATCGACTCCTTGTGTAAAATGTGTTACCTTGTAACTTCTCTACTTGGAGGGATGAGCATCACTCACTTTTCTAGTTTTAACAAANAACTCCTCTACTTGGAGGGATGAGCATCACTCACTTTTCTAGTTTTAACAAAGCCATGAAGAGTGAGTAGTTTCTCATCCAATCTTTAGTAAGAGGTGGTTATCCGGAAGTTAAATTTATGCAATTCGTTTATGCTTAGCTTTAGTCTTTATTTTTTCATAATGTCTTCTCATCATATTATTGTCTTTATTTTAAGGATGAATAGCTAAATCTCTTAGTTGGCAAAACCAAGAGGAACCTCCACTTGGGTATACCATTTCAACTCATTATCCTCCCCTCTTTCAGAATTCAATGGTTCGGTTTGACTAGGTTGAGGGTAGATAACTTGGTGAATCTTTGATATTCCGTATGCCTAGTCACGGTTTATGCTTAGATACTCATCAATCTTACCCCTAGCTTCCCACGAATCAATCGTTCATTCATGCTCTATTAGAGGAGNAATCTTACCCCTAGCTTCCCACGAATCAATCGTTCATTCATGCTCTATTGGAGGAGGGTTTTGAGTTGAGACGGTATTCCTATTGGAGTGATCTCTTGGATTTGCCAACATTTGTTTCTCATTTTACTAGCATCAAAACAACTTCACCAAACAACTTCCAACAATCAAAGATTTTACACTTTCTTTCTCCTAAAATCACATTTCCCTCAGTTTACTTCCTTCCTCGTGAAAACGACCTTGAAATACCACCAAGTAAAACACGATCCGCAAAAGTCTCCTTGCGCTTGGGGAGCACTTTTGTTCACACATACTCACATTTGAAATCTCATTCATCCATCATTCCATTGCCCTTTCTTTTGACATCATCCCTAGGAAAGTGACACTCCCATTTATTCATATATTATACATGCTAAAAGGTGATGTTTATAGGTTAGGAAACAACAAGAAAATTTGTCAAGCATTCACCAAATGGGACTTCACACAGACATTCTCTCACTTTAGTATACAAGACTGGATACACAATTACTAAATCCCACCCACATTTTTGGCCCCAACAGTTCTTCTCCGATCTCCTACTTTTCATAGTAATTCTTCCTCAAACATCTGGACCACAAGGAACAAATCCTACTATTACAATCTAACTACTAAGCCTCAATAATTTTTGAACCAGATCCTACACAACTACAATGAATTCAAGGGAGCCAAAGCACATGAAAAAACTCTCACTACCCACCAAAAATCTGATGAATGGGAAGCCCCATAAGAAAGAATAATAACGATCAATATTGATGTTGCAGTTGGAGTAGATAAATCAAACGTTGTAGCAATTGCTAGATTAATTGATGGTTTAGTCATAGAAAGTTTGGTTGAAGTCAAACCAGGAACTGACCTTCTGGTAGATAAGGCTCTTACTTCAAGACAAGCATTAACAAGGGCTCATGAGAAGGGATGGTTGCATGTGACAATAGATGGCCCGCAATCCATTATACACTATGTTATCCACGCATCAAGCCACACTGGTATGTGCTTCTAATCATATAAG